TATATATTTAATTCTTATTAATATTTTAACTATAAGTTCATAAATAGTAAAATAGAAATGCAGAGCCTGCGCTAAAAACCTAGATACATTTAACAACTACTAAAAGTGATAACTAAGAGAAAATTTTGCAGAAATCATTTAAGAATTGTGAATACTTTAAAGCAATATTATCTTCTGATGCTTTGAGTGCCGCTCTTTGTAAAATAGAATAGGGAGAAGAAGATGACGATGCTCTATAATTGATTTTTAATTTAAAATTAGTTATTCAAATTATTTATTTTATAAACAGTCGGTCGATCATGATCTATAGCAAGTTCATCTAAATCTGCTAGCAGTAAGTTTTAGAAGTTAAAATTTTCAAATGAGCAGCACTTGCATCCAATATCGAATCAGACCCAAAGAGGATACCATTCAATTTATATGCCAATGGCGATGCGATCGTTCAAAGTTAGAACAAAGGTTTTCCGTGAATTATCTGTTGAACCACATAAACAATGTTGGAATTTTAGCATTGAGAGCAACGATTCATGTGGTTGGCCATTTAACACTGGCCAAAAAAATTTAGCTAGGCTCAGCTATTGATTAAGGGTGACATTTGACAAGAAATCAGCAAGCAAATGACCATACAAAAATTAATATGGCACTTAGCATGTCAGATGTTGTATGATAGTCACATATTCTGCAAGTGGATTTGTTTCAGCAAAGTTTTTAATTTTCATTAACATTAAGAATAAATACAAAAATATTACTTTTTTTATGCTTTGCACATCATGCGAATTTAATAATTGGAGAACTTTTTAAAGAATCTTTAGTGTTGCAGAATAATATATTAAGACTATTTCATTTTTAACAAGTCTTATTTCATGATAAACAGAAGGTTCTTTATAATAAATACATTCCTTTGCAACGTTCTGGTGGTACATGTTAGAACAATTATCACAAATGCTTCACTATTCTTTATCAATAGCAAAAAGGCCTTGCAGGTAATTGTGTAATTTCATAATTTATAAATAAGTGTTATTATTTTTTTGTATTTATTCTAAAATTGAATTTTTACTATATATATATATATATATATATATATATAATTATGTTAAATAATTAATTCTGAATCTTTTTGGACAGCTATAAAAGAACATCGTAATCTTATGTAATGCAGTAGACTTTTGAAGTTTTGGATTTAAAGTTGTTTGGTGTAGAATTTCCCTGATGCATCAAAAATACGTCAGTTTATTCTCTTTACCTAATCGGTTGAAATTTTGGTTAAAGAAGGGATCATCGTTAGTCATTATCTCTGAACGACTAATAAATTATGAGATTATAAAAAATCATATTATTATTTTCTGGATTGGATTATTTAGTGGCTATAAAGGTGTATATTTTATGAAGCTTTACAAGATCAAGTACTCGGAGAAAATGTTAGATAGGCTGGAAAGACGTTGAGGCATTTGAGAACAGCTCATTCTTTCGCTTTCGTTTTGATTAAATACAAAATAAGCAGAAAACTTCAGTGCAAATATTCTACCAAGATTAGCTATTTTATTGTCTTGGATCTTAATTTAATGAGGAGTCTGTTTCAAAATCAAAAAAAAATACCCTCATACTGATGATATTTCAAAGCAATTTGATAGTTGCTACTATATGCTGGAGCCCTTATCTAAAGATGAAAGTAAACTTGCCAAATTAGTATGTAAAATTTTTGGAATGTATATCAATCCTGTAAGATTATTCCCAAAACGAATTAATAAATTTTCTTATTCGTAACAGACTAATAGACTTCAGTTAAAAAAAAAAATCTAAAAATCAGATTTTTTATTTTGTAGGAAAGATTTTGTAAATTAGCCAGATTCATAGAAACATGAATAATTAAAAAATCTCAACCTGAAATCTTAGATAACTTTATGATTGAATTAAATACTACAAATGAATCCGTTTTGAATTCTAAAGATGATGCAATGAAAGTAAATTTTTAATAAAATATTTTAAAAATTAAAATTACGACTCGTTTATAATTATCCAAAAGCATGATAAACGGATAGATGCACATCCAGCAAAAAATACAAAGGCAAAATGAAACTAATAGATCAGTTTCCTGACACCAGATTTTATTTAATTTTTGTTATTTGAAAAAGTTTATATGCAAATATTGAACCTGTTATATACCAATCACCATACAGCCAACTTTTATAATAATCAGTTGACAACTATAAATTGATTGATTGATTGATTGATTGATTAACTAATTAATTATCTTCCTTGTAGCAAAGTGAAAAATAATTACTTGTGAGAAAGAAAAGTGTTTTTTTGATTTCTAAAGAGGTTTATTTAAACATTTTCTTTAAAAAAAAAAAATAATAATAACAAAATTAACAATAAAATCAAAAAATTTACAAAAGAAAATAAAAGAAAATAAAAAACTTATGTGTGTATGTATATGTATATGTGTAAATTCTATATTATATATAATTAACAACCAGTTATTATATTTATATATATATATATATATATATAAAAGTAATAAAACAGATTGACAACAACTAACCAAATCATCCATTCAAACAATTGTATTTATTAATATTCTGATCATATGTACTAGCAATAGTTGTTGTTACTCTTGGTTGATTGACTTAATTGACATCTGTAAGAAGTTGTTTTTCTAAAATATATTTACCTTCCTTATAACGTTGAGTTTGTTCGTATGCTCTTTCCTGAAGGAAAAGAAGGAAAAGAAAAGTATTTTTTTCAATTAATTCATCATTCATAATTCATCATCATACGAATGTCTCAATAAAAATAAAATAAATTGATTCGTACATATTTCCAACCTAATACTACTTTACAACGAGAGCAAAAAATATCTTTAACTGTATGAAGTCCAGTGGTCATTTGACGATCCTCAGAAGGCCCTTCCTCCACATTAACCCTGTATTGTTGTTGTTAAAGAATTAAACATATTAAACATATAACAATCAATCAAATATATATAAACATATATATATGCATATATTACTTACACTGAGTCAAAGAGATAAGCTCTTCCATGTTGACCTTGAAAGGCCTAAAATTTACAAATTTAAAAAAGTTAATATTGTGATTTGGGTATAAATAATAATCTTATTATTGTTAACCTTTGAAATGATACTATCACTCGTAGAAAGATGAGTTCTACACTTATGACATCCGAAAATGCGAGTACCACTTAAATAAACAAAGTACATTAAGCCCATATTTCAAATAATTTATGTGTTTAAAATTATAAATTGTAATAATTCAAAAGTTCAGGGAAAAAAATCAAGTTTTCAAAATTTTCCTTTGTTGTTTTATTTATTTATTTATTTATTTATTTATTTATTTATTATTTATTTAACTAATAATGGAGTAATAGAAAGGGGGAAGATTGTAAAAAAGAAAAAGCTGCAAGTTTAAAAAATGAATACATACATATGTAATCATCATCAATAATATGATAATAAAGAAGTCACAAATTCATAGTAATAGTAATAGTTCAGTCTCTCGTGATATTTGTGATACGTGCGAGATTTCAAGATAAACAAAATTTCCTAATTTTAAAACAATGATATAACTTTAAACAAATCTTTTGTAGAGTTTCGCTATTATCAAGTGAAATAATAGGTTCTAAAGGCGGCTGGTGTAAAGGGCGATCTACTAACTAGAAACCCAAGAATTATTGCATTCCTATGAAACAATTTTTTAATTCATGGTACGTGCGTAGCAAAAAATTTCTTTTGCAATCTTCTTCAGTTTCTGTGGTGATTACAGTCAACATCAGTTTCGATCCACACTGAATATATAACAAATGCCTAGAAGCGATTAATATTTGATAGCAAAAAAAATATTTATGTGATAATGTATCGATAAAGAATCTGAAATTTTCCGTTCAACAGGGTTGATATTAAATGGATTCTGGAATACTCTTATGATATTAGAGATGCAGCAATGAATGAAAATTTATAAATCGAATATAAAAATTTCTAAAAAAAAATAAGTTAAAATATGACTCATTCCGTTTTGGTGAATTCTACTCATGCACCCTACCCCACTTAAATTTAGGGCCGATAACAAAGGTCCTAAATTTTCAGTGGTTAGAAAGTAGAGATGCTGGCTATAAAATATTTAAAACACAAGAAATATTTAACATGGTTATAAAAAAAATCAGTTCGATTTAAACAATACTTACTCCGCAGCATTCTTTGGGATGTGTTAATCATCAAAATCTAACAATCGATTGAATCGATTTCGGATTACAATCGGATTATCGATCAATTTTTGGTTTTGTTTCAAAAAGGGTTGTTGTCCTGCACCAGGAAGCATCATTTCAGAAGGAACGGATAAAGAATTGTCGAATATTTTTGACTAAAATGTGAAGTTTTAAAAATGCTGATCTTTTTCAAATTTTCTCAAAACATAATTGACGCTGTCCTCGTTTCTATTGAAAAGGTTCCGTATTTGAAACCGTCAAACAAAATCTGGGTCCCTCAAAGGTCTTTAGATGTACAGATGCCGTCCTTGATAAAGATATAAATGGAACCCGTAACCTGCTTAAAGTATATTACAAAAACACAAGTGTTAGTGACGTTGTGACGCCCTAAGGGAATCTCCATGTAGGACTTGACTTGTTTGTAAGCAATAGTTCTTTTTTAAAATTTTTGATGACTGAACACCCCAGTGGCAATCAAATTTGATATATTAGCGGAGTACTATTAAATATTAATTCACAGTAAAAAAAAAAAAAGGAATTTTAAGTATCATATTTATTGCTATTAGTCTCTCTATTTCTTCTTGTTATTCTATCCAAAACATCCAAAAATGATCCCCTATATATATATATGTATATAGCAGGAAAATGATAGTATGATTAGGTATGATTAATACTTGATGAGCAAATATATTGTCTTCCTCGCAACCACACACCACAAACATATCAAGCACCGATGTGGCAAGTATATGCATCCTCTAGAAAATAATATTGGTTGATGAAGATGAGTTGGAAATTTAGTCAAGGTGATCCATTGTCGTCGTTGTCCTCATCGTCATCGTCGTCTCGTCGTCGTCACCTTCTCTTTTTAAAAATTGTTTTTGTGGCATGCGTGTGAAAATAATATTTGTTTGTTTTCCTCCCAGAAGAGAACAATAGTGAATAGGTGTTAAATCTGATAGTTTAGGAATTGGAAAAAAATTATTACCATTTTACCAGCAGTGTTGAAATTTCGTCGTGTAACTGTACAAATTTAGAAACTATCTCAAAAAATTAAAAAATTGATTGGTGTGTAATGTTACACCCGGACATTCCAGACATTGAATTTTACCAGTACTAGTACCTTGAAGCGTTAAGGCCTTAGTAAAAAATAACAGAAAAAACTGGAGGATTTTGAGCGAGAAGTGAATAATTAAATAATATAATAATAACAATAAAACAATGATATGCGTTTTTTGTAGAAATTTTTTATTAGCTAATTTTGATATTTCTTTATAAAAAACTAGCTTGATAAAGATCAACCTGGGTTTTTTTAATTAAAAAAAAATAAAAAAAAATGAATAAAAATTTCGAAGATAATCCAAAAAAATTACAAAATTTTATTAATGGACAATATGTTAGTCCATTTCAAGTGAACAACAATGTTGAAAAGGAAGTTAAATATATTCCTGTTACTACTCCTCATACAGGAAAAGTTATTGCACATTGTCCAATTTCTACAGCTGAAGATGTTAATGCGGCAGTTGATGCAGCAAAAAAAGCATTTAAGACATGGAGGTATATAAATATAATTTTTACATTATGATAATTGTGATTAACTTACCAAGAGTAATAATCACATATATCTATTCTTTGAAATTATTAGTTCGAGAACTGTTAAAGATCGTATTCAAACATTGATACGTTTTCATAATTTACTAAATGATCATATGGATGAATTAGCAGATCTGATTGTATTAGAACATGGAAAAAACAAAGCAGAAGTAAATAATTAATATATATAAGATACATATATATTAATAGCATTAAAATAATAATGGATCATATTTGTTTTTAGGCAATTGCAAGCATTACCAAAGGCGCAGAAACTGTGGAATATGCCATTTCATTGCCGCAATTGGTGAATATCAAAAAAAAAAAATATTCTTTTAAATTTTTAAATTTTTATAAAACAATGATGTATAAAAAGTTCATATAAATTTATGATATTAGATTCAAGGGAAAATATTGGAGGTTTCTAGAGGAGTCACTTGTAACGACACAAAATTGCCATTAGGAGTTGTTGCTTCAATTGTACCATTCAATTTCCCAATTATGGTTCCAATGTGGACTTTACCAATTGCTATTGCTACAGGTAACACATTAATATTAAAGCCATCGGAAAAGGTTCCACTTACAATGAATCGGGTTATGGCTTTACTTAAAGAAGCTGGAATACCCGACGGAGTCGTTAATTTAATTAATGGAACTGTTGAAGGTAAAAGAAATTTTTGAATTTTGTATTTGGTTTTTTCTTTTTGAAAAAATTTTTTTTAACAATTTGTGAAAATTTTCTATTAATTAGCTGTGAATGCTATTTGTGAACATCCCGACATAAAAGCAGTTACATTTGTTGGTACTTCGCAGCATTATCATACCTTCTGATCTTTTTATGGTGCACTTTCTTTTGCAAAATAAAATTTGATAATTATGTTGGCAAGCAACAAGCATTTTCTAAATGTGTCAACAGATCATTAGTAAACCACAAGACTGGCATTATTCTGATGTAAAGACTAGTGCCATAAATTATGATGATGGTAGTAATTGTATTTATGGCATATAAAAAGTGGTTGCAATTACCTTTGCGACCACTTTTGCAACCATACTTTTTCCTTTTTTTGGATTACAGCACTAGTCTTTAGACTCAATTATATATCTAAAGAAATCATCACACTGGGTCCAGCTGAAAATTACAAATTCAAATATATTTCAAGCTGGGTATTATACAAGTTGATATGCATTCAAAAAACATTAAAAATAGTAATAAAGAAAATACAATAAAAAACCAAATTTATCACCAAATCCAATTTGGCATTCAATCAACTTTGTATTTGGTAGAATTTGAGGATATTTTACTACATGTTTCAAGCAACCAATTGATTTAGTTTAATGCCTTGGGGTTACTACAGCATATAAATGTAAAAATTTTCTAATACTCTTATTATTGCAACATTTAAAGGCTAATACACCATTTAAAGAAGAAATGTTGGCAAAAAATATGATGTTTTAATTAAAACTTTAGTAAATGAATTAAATGTATTGATTGGTGTTAAAATAATTACTTTTGGTGTAATTAGAAAAAAAAATTTTCCTTTTGAAAATATCAATGAAATAAAACTTTAGACATAAAAAACTTCACTACTACTTCTCTTTCACCTTGGAAACCAAAATTTTTTTGGATCAAAAAATGTTTACAAAGTAAAAACATTTATTTTTGTGAAATCTTAGTTGTAACTATACATGAAGTCAAAACTATTTTGACCATTTGCAGATCTGGTTGAAATAGGGTCGAAACAAGGTCGAAACTGATTTTTACTATGTAGTTGCCTCAAGTCGAAGCATTTCGACTTCATGTATAGCCGTAACATTCATATTGAACCCCTTCCCCTATGTCTCACGAATGCCATGTAACGTGATACGCGCCCTTTGAGTTCTCATTGATCCATATAATCAAACGTTGAAATTCCGTTGTGTAACTAGTCCAAAACTATTTCCAAAAATTAAAAATTGATTGGTGTGTACTGTTACGCCCTGCATTCCCGCACTGAATTTTTCAACATTGGTATAACCTATCAAATAATTTGTATTAATTTAATGTCACGTGCGGTGTATAAAATCGATGTGCCATACATACAAATCTGCATGTAATTTCCATATTGAGTTGGCTCCACATACTCTTATATATTGGTCACGTGGATACGTTGTGGTAAGATTAATATTAATAGTAGAACTACATTTAAATCCGTCGTAACAAGAAATCAGCTATGGCAAGGTCTGATATAGTGAAAATTTGCATATTAATTATATTAATAAAATTTGGAAACATACGTTTTTGTGCAACCTTGATTTAAAAGCGCTCCCACTTTTATCCATGTATTACGTGCAGATAATCTTTATTGAAGATCATCATGTTTCTCCGGTGGCTAAAAGATTGTTCGCATAATAATAAGGTGAGAAAATTATGCAGTGTTAGTGTAGGTAATTTTAAAAATTTCCGGTGCCGCAGTAAATGTAACATACATAATAAAATTCAATTATATTTGCATATATTATGATGTACATAAACAAACACACATCATATGTTTGTTCAGATCTGGTTTTTTATTTTTCATGAAAAAATATGACGATCATTAATTAATCAAATCATTACATGTGTGAATTTGGTAGTAAACGCATATTTAGTAATTAGTAATCAGATTTGAAGATTAACGATAATAATAATTATTATTTATTATTTATTATTTATTACAATTATGATTATGATTCAAAATAAAGGTTACACTTAAAGAAAATAAACTTTGACGAAAAAGAGAATTATATTAAATTTGTGTGCTTCCTGAAATTATTTAATGTACAAATTCATAACAAAATTAATTACGTTTACGCACACGAAAAATATTACAATACGTAAATGTACATTTCAAGATTTAAAATTTTTTGACGATTTCGATGATTTGATCAGCTGAAAATAAATAAGGAACAAATCGTAAATTTCTGAATTCATAACTAATTAATATATGTATATATAGTATATAATAATAATTTGATTTTTAAATTTGTAAACAAATCGATAGCGTCAATTGTAATGTAACAACATTGTAAAATTTATTTGTTTTAACTAAACGCTTGAGATCCTCGATGCATTCTGACATCATCGAAATTACTTAATTTGGAAATCTCAAAAAAACATAGGAATGTAACACTAGTCGTAAAAATTTTAAATTCTTTTCCTTTTTTTTATTATAATGTTCTATTACCCAGTTCTCGATTATATAATTGTGTGCTATAACACAAAAAGTCCTTCACATCATAGGGTTTTTATTCGTTAATAATTCTTGTAATAAGATAATGGAAATAAGAAATTATATTGCAAATAAAACAAACAAACAACAAACTTAATCGGTTGATTGATTGGATAATGATTAAATTAAATAAATAAATAAAACCGAAATTTTTGTTTCTAATTGTATTAATAAAAAAGGAATCTGATTTACCAAAAAGATATAGTCGACCCTCGAAGTTCCCGATCTACCATATCGGTTAGTTTGTCTATTTACATGATGATATCACAGAAATTTTCGTCAAGTTCGTCAACTAAATTTGTAAAATCTATAAAAACCCATCTGATCCCTCTTTTTTTCAAATCTTCATCCAGTTCTTCAAGATTTTTAAAATTTTATAATAATTATTTATTTAATTATTTTCTTTCTCGCAACTATTATTCTTTCATAATAATAATTTTTGATTTAATTTTTTGATCAACTATTCGTAAAGAAATTTAAATTGTTAATACATTCCTTTTATAATTTTTTAAAGATTTATAGATTTTTTTTTCATTTACCTCACTATCCCACATTATATATATATATATATATATATATAAAATGTATATGATTAAAAGATATTTTCTGCTTTTACCGCCAGAAACCATCCATATAATTTTAAGTTTTTTGGTTGTAAAAGACCGTCAGAGTTTATCAAAAACATCCCGTACTCTTCGTCGTTACGTACACACGTTTCATTTTGGGATTTCCATGCCAATTTGGGAAGGAATCGCCCTCAATGATAACTTAAATTTAGATTATAGAACTGGTGTCTATATTGATGATAAAATATATCTTGTTGATCTTACTCTGCAAAAACCTGTCTGTTGGATCTTCGATACTTCCCAAAAAGGTTTAGCAACATTTTTGTCTGAGCCAATGGATGTTAAAAACGATTATCATCCTGTTCAATATCCTGCAACTACCGTTGTGGATGATATGATATATATTTTTGGTGGGGAAAGCCTCAGGACAGGCCAACCAACCAATCACTTGTATATATTAAAAACAAAAACCATGTCTTTGTGTAAGATGCCAGAAAATGGCCAAATCCCTATTCCAAGGTCAATGCCTTCTTTAGACGCTTTGAATGCAAGCCAATTAGCGCTATTTGGAGGTCATGGGACATACAATGGTAATTATTGATTACAATCATCATGATTCATTTACTTTTATAATTATTTACGTGTTAATATTTATTTTGATTATTTACTTTTAACATTAAAAAAAGGTACATCATATGATCTGAAAGATATTCATATATATGATATATCAAGTAATAGTTGGAACGAAATTTCAACTAGTTCCAACGTCCCTTATGCTCGATCGCTACATAGTACATGCTCGCTAAATGAAAAGCTCTATATCTATGGCGGCAAACATATCTCTTCGATATCTTCTGAGTCGGTAATACATGATGATGATGATACTTGGATTTTCGACAAATCTAACGACGCTTGGCAAAGATACATTGCACCAATCTCTGCAAATTTGCCTCTTCCTCTTCAATGGATTCGAACCAAGGGAGTAGGGCTGGGAAAAAGATCTGGAGCAGCATTGTTTTTTCTACGGAACAGGTTAGTAATTTTGGGTGGTAAAGAAAAAAATGATTTCCGTACTCTTAACGAAGAAAATGCTTGGGAATTCATGAAAATACTATGCCCAACTAAAAATGTATGGAGACAAGTAAGAATTCAAGGAATGCCAAAACTCGAATGTTTGGCACTCCAAGTGGCTGTAAAAAATGATAAAAATATCATTTTAATTATCGGCAAAAACCTAAATGGCGAACTAATTATAGGACATATAAGAGATTAAATTATTTATAAAAAAAAAAAATAGAAAACATTGTTTTTTATTTTTATAGAATTATTTCTAGAATTATTTATAGAATCATATAAGCTTTAAGTTTTAAAAAAGATTTTTTTCATCATTCTTCATAAAAAAATTATATGTAATAGTAATAGCGATTTTTTAATTAGATCGGATTAGACTGAAATTATTTATTTATGATATAGAATTTTTTTAACGTTAAATAAAACATTATGAGGCAATATATCGATCGATGATGAGTGTTCCATTTCTTTTCTATATTTTATGACGTAAAAACCTCCGTAATTTATGAAACAATGATCGTCATTTCGTCATCTTCCTTCATATTGTTGCATTACTATTACGGGCAAATTTGAATTATATAGAACCCTCATTTGACATAATTTTCCATGAAAAAGAAACTTGCACTATTTTGGTCAGTAATTGTCGAATATAATCGTCAAAAATCTATTTTTACATTAATAATAGTTATAAATAAATAATTATATTTCTTCCTTTAGAAATTTCGTCATAAGACATTTTTGTCAGTTGAAAAAGATCGTCAGGCATAATTTAGGGTAGACTATTATGAAAGCAATTGGGTTAGAATTTTAATTACCACATGGACCCATTTTTATTTCTTCGAAACGTGTAAGTGACGTGAAGATGACATGTTACACGATCATATTAATATAAGATGGAGTAAGATCTGGAAAATTTGCTGAAAATCCGTCCAAATTTGATAATAGTTTTCCTGTATTATTTTTTATGCTGTAACCATTTACGCAATCAACGTGACAAAACAGTCGGGGCAGTATTAAAAATTTTTGTTTTTATTGTGTCGATGAAGATGTAGTAATGAGTTGTTTTGAAAATCTTGGGTTGACACAGTAAACTTGTTCAACTTTGAAGTTAATTCCTCCATAACATCATAAATGAAATCATAGAAAGATCCTTTTTGGAGAAAATCAATATGGCAAATTAATATAGACGGTTTAAAACGGAGGTAGCAAGTGACAAGGTCCATCCATCTATAGTCAAATTTATTTATTGGTAATATTCCATGTATATATTTAATTCTTATTAATATTTTAACTATAAGTTCATAAATAGTAAAATAGAAATGCAGAGCCTGCGCTAAAAACCTAGATACATTTAACAACTACTAAAAGTGATAACTAAGAGAAAATTTTGCAGAAATCATTTAAGAATTGTGAATACTTTAAAGCAATATTATCTTCTGATGCTTTGAGTGCCGCTCTTTGTAAAATAGAATAGGGAGAAGAAGATGACGATGCTCTATAATTGATTTTTAATTTAAAATTAGTTATTCAAATTATTTATTTTATAAACAGTCGGTCGATCATGATCTATAGCAAGTTCATCTAAATCTGCTAGCAGTAAGTTTTAGAAGTTAAAATTTTCAAATGAGCAGCACTTGCATCCAATATCGAATCAGACCCAAAGAGGATACCATTCAATTTATATGCCAATGGCGATGCGATCGTTCAAAGTTAGAACAAAGGTTTTCCGTGAATTATCTGTTGAACCACATAAACAATGTTGGAATTTTAGCATTGAGAGCAACGATTCATGTGGTTGGCCATTTAACACTGGCCAAAAAAATTTAGCTAGGCTCAGCTATTGATTAAGGGTGACATTTGACAAGAAATCAGCAAGCAAATGACCATACAAAAATTAATATGGCACTTAGCATGTCAGATGTTGTATGATAGTCACATATTCTGCAAGTGGATTTGTTTCAGCAAAGTTTTTAATTTTCATTAACATTAAGAATAAATACAAAAATATTACTTTTTTTATGCTTTGCACATCATGCGAATTTAATAATTGGAGAACTTTTTAAAGAATCTTTAGTGTTGCAGAATAATATATTAAGACTATTTCATTTTTAACAAGTCTTATTTCATGATAAACAGAAGGTTCTTTATAATAAATACATTCCTTTGCAACGTTCTGGTGGTACATGTTAGAACAATTATCACAAATGCTTCACTATTCTTTATCAATAGCAAAAAGGCCTTGCAGGTAATTGTGTAATTTCATAATTTATAAATAAGTGTTATTATTTTTTTGTATTTATTCTAAAATTGAATTTTTACTATATATATATATATATATATATATATATAATTATGTTAAATAATTAATTCTGAATCTTTTTGGACAGCTATAAAAGAACATCGTAATCTTATGTAATGCAGTAGACTTTTGAAGTTTTGGATTTAAAGTTGTTTGGTGTAGAATTTCCCTGATGCATCAAAAATACGTCAGTTTATTCTCTTTACCTAATCGGTTGAAATTTTGGTTAAAGAAGGGATCATCGTTAGTCATTATCTCTGAACGACTAATAAATTATGAGATTATAAAAAATCATATTATTATTTTCTGGATTGGATTATTTAGTGGCTATAAAGGTGTATATTTTATGAAGCTTTACAAGATCAAGTACTCGGAGAAAATGTTAGATAGGCTGGAAAGACGTTGAGGCATTTGAGAACAGCTCATTCTTTCGCTTTCGTTTTGATTAAATACAAAATAAGCAGAAAACTTCAGTGCAAATATTCTACCAAGATTAGCTATTTTATTGTCTTGGATCTTAATTTAATGAGGAGTCTGTTTCAAAATCAAAAAAAAATACCCTCATACTGATGATATTTCAAAGCAATTTGATAGTTGCTACTATATGCTGGAGCCCTTATCTAAAGATGAAAGTAAACTTGCCAAATTAGTATGTAAAATTTTTGGAATGTATATCAATCCTGTAAGATTATTCCCAAAACGAATTAATAAATTTTCTTATTCGTAACAGACTAATAGACTTCAGTTAAAAAAAAAAATCTAAAAATCAGATTTTTTATTTTGTAGGAAAGATTTTGTAAATTAGCCAGATTCATAGAAACATGAATAATTAAAAAATCTCAACCTGAAATCTTAGATAACTTTATGATTGAATTAAATACTACAAATGAATCCGTTTTGAATTCTAAAGATGATGCAATGAAAGTAAATTTTTAATAAAATATTTTAAAAATTAAAATTACGACTCGTTTATAATTATCCAAAAGCATGATAAACGGATAGATGCACATCCAGCAAAAAATACAAAGGCAAAATGAAACTAATAGATCAGTTTCCTGACACCAGATTTTATTTAATTTTTGTTATTTGAAAAAGTTTATATGCAAATATTGAACCTGTTATATACCAATCACCATACAGCCAACTTTTATAATAATCAGTTGACAACTATAAATTGATTGATTGATTGATTGATTGATTAACTAATTAATTATCTTCCTTGTAGCAAAGTGAAAAATAATTACTTGTGAGAAAGAAAAGTGTTTTTTTGATTTCTAAAGAGGTTTATTTAAACATTTTCTTTAAAAAAAAAAAATAATAATAACAAAATTAACAATAAAATCAAAAAATTTACAAAAGAAAATAAAAGAAAATAAAAAACTTATGTGTGTATGTATATGTATATGTGTAAATTCTATATTATATATAATTAACAACCAGTTATTATATTTATATATATATATATATATATATAAAAGTAATAAAACAGATTGACAACAACTAACCAAATCATCCATTCAAACAATTGTATTTATTAATATTCTGATCATATGTACTAGCAATAGTTGTTGTTACTCTTGGTTGATTGACTTAATTGACATCTGTAAGAAGTTGTTTTTCTAAAATATATTTACCTTCCTTATAACGTTGAGTTTGTTCGTATGCTCTTTCCTGAAGGAAAAGAAGGAAAAGAAAAGTATTTTTTTCAATTAATTCATCATTCATAATTCATCATCATACGAATGTCTCAATAAAAATAAAATAAATTGATTCGTACATATTTCCAACCTAATACTACTTTACAACGAGAGCAAAAAATATCTTTAACTGTATGAAGTCCAGTGGTCATTTGACGATCCTCAGAAGGCCCTTCCTCCACATTAACCCTGTATTGTTGTTGTTAAAGAATTAAACATATTAAACATATAACAATCAATCAAATATATATAAACATATATATATGCATATATTACTTACACTGAGTCAAAGAGATAAGCTCTTCCATGTTGACCTTGAAAGGCCTAAAATTTACAAATTTAAAAAAGTTAATATTGTGATTTGGGTATAAATAATAATCTTATTATTGTTAACCTTTGAAATGATACTATCACTCGTAGAAAGATGAGTTCTACACTTATGACATCCGAAAATGCGAGTACCACTTAAATAAACAAAGTACATTAAGCCCATATTTCAAATAATTTATGTGTTTAAAATTATAAATTGTAATAATTCAAAAGTTCAGGGAAAAAAATCAAGTTTTCAAAATTTTCCTTTGTTGTTTTATTTATTTATTTATTTATTTATTTATTTATTTATTATTTATTTAACTAATAATGGAGTAATAGAAAGGGGGAAGATTGTAAAAAAGAAAAAGCTGCAAGTTTAAAAAATGAATACATACATATGTAATCATCATCAATAATATGATAATAAAGAAGTCACAAATTCATAGTAATAGTAATAGTTCAGTCTCTCGTGATATTTGTGATACGTGCGAGATTTCAAGATAAACAAAATTTCCTAATTTTAAAACAATGATATAACTTTAAACAAATCTTTTGTAGAGTTTCGCTATTATCAAGTGAAATAATAGGTTCTAAAGGCGGCTGGTGTAAAGGGCGATCTACTAACTAGAAACCCAAGAATTATTGCATTCCTATGAAACAATTTTTTAATTCATGGTACGTGCGTAGCAAAAAATTTCTTTTGCAATCTTCTTCAGTTTCTGTGGTGATTACAGTCAACATCAGTTTCGATCCACACTGAATATATAACAAATGCCTAGAAGCGATTAATATTTGATAGCAAAAAAAATATTTATGTGATAATGTATCGATAAAGAATCTGAAATTTTCCGTTCAACAGGGTTGATATTAAATGGATTCTGGAATACTCTTATGATATTAGAGATGCAGCAATGAATGAAAATTTATAAATCGAATATAAAAATTTCTAAAAAAAAATAAGTTAAAATATGACTCATTCCGTTTTGGTGAATTCTACTCATGCACCCTACCCCACTTAAATTTAGGGCCGATAACAAAGGTCCTAAATTTTCAGTGGTTAGAAAGTAGAGATGCTGGCTATAAAATATTTAAAACACAAGAAATATTTAACATGGTTATAAAAAAAATCAGTTCGATTTAAACAATACTTACTCCGCAGCATTCTTTGGGATGTGTTAATCATCAAAATCTAACAATCGATTGAATCGATTTCGGATTACAATCGGATTATCGATCAATTTTTGGTTTTGTTTCAAAAAGGGTTGTTGTCCTGCACCAGGAAGCATCATTTCAGAAGGAACGGATAAAGAATTGTCGAATATTTTTGACTAAAATGTGAAGTTTTAAAAATGCTGATCTTTTTCAAATTTTCTCAAAACATAATTGACGCTGTCCTCGTTTCTATTGAAAAGGTTCCGTATTTGAAACCGTCAAACAAAATCTGGGTCCCTCAAAGGTCTTTAGATGTACAGATGCCGTCCTTGATAAAGATATAAATGGAACCCGTAACCTGCTTAAAGTATATTACAAAAACACAAGTGTTAGTGACGTTGTGACGCCCTAAGGGAATCTCCATGTAGGACTTGACTTGTTTGTAAGCAATAGTTCTTTTTTAAAATTTTTGATGACTGAACACCCCAGTGGCAATCAAATTTGATATATTAGCGGAGTACTATTAAATATTAATTCACAGTAAAAAAAAAAAAAGGAATTTTAAGTATCATATTTATTGCTATTAGTCTCTCTATTTCTTCTTGTTATTCTATCCAAAACATCCAAAAATGATCCCCTATATATATATATGTATATAGCAGGAAAATGATAGTATGATTAGGTATGATTAATACTTGATGAGCAAATATATTGTCTTCCTCGCAACCACACACCACAAACATATCAAGCACCGATGTGGCAAGTATATGCATCCTCTAGAAAATAATATTGGTTGATGAAGATGAGTTGGAAATTTAGTCAAGGTGATCCATTGTCGTCGTTGTCCTCATCGTCATCGTCGTCTCGTCGTCGTCACCTTCTCTTTTTAAAAATTGTTTTTGTGGCATGCGTGTGAAAATAATATTTGTTTGTTTTCCTCCCAGAAGAGAACAATAGTGAATAGGTGTTAAATCTGATAGTTTAGGAATTGGAAAAAAATTATTACCATTTTACCAGCAGTGTTGAAATTTCGTCGTGTAACTGTACAAATTTAGAAACTATCTCAAAAAATTAAAAAATTGATTGGTGTGTAATGTTACACCCGGACATTCCAGACATTGAATTTTACCAGTACTAGTACCTTGAAGCGTTAAGGCCTTAGTAAAAAATAACAGAAAAAACTGGAGGATTTTGAGCGAGAAGTGAATAATTAAATAATATAATAATAACAATAAAACAATGATATGCGTTTTTTGTAGAAATTTTTTATTAGCTAATTTTGATATTTCTTTATAAAAAACTAGCTTGATAAAGATCAACCTGGGTTTTTTTAATTAAAAAAAAATAAAAAAAAATGAATAAAAATTTCGAAGATAATCCAAAAAAATTACAAAATTTTATTAATGGACAATATGTTAGTCCATTTCAAGTGAACAACAATGTTGAAAAGGAAGTTAAATATATTCCTGTTACTACTCCTCATACAGGAAAAGTTATTGCACATTGTCCAATTTCTACAGCTGAAGATGTTAATGCGGCAGTTGATGCAGCAAAAAAAGCATTTAAGACATGGAGGTATATAAATATAATTTTTACATTATGATAATTGTGATTAACTTACCAAGAGTAATAATCACATATATCTATTCTTTGAAATTATTAGTTCGAGAACTGTTAAAGATCGTATTCAAACATTGATACGTTTTCATAATTTACTAAATGATCATATGGATGAATTAGCAGATCTGATTGTATTAGAACATGGAAAAAACAAAGCAGAAGTAAATAATTAATATATATAAGATACATATATATTAATAGCATTAAAATAATAATGGATCATATTTGTTTTTAGGCAATTGCAAGCATTACCAAAGGCGCAGAAACTGTGGAATATGCCATTTCATTGCCGCAATTGGTGAATATCAAAAAAAAAAAATATTCTTTTAAATTTTTAAATTTTTATAAAACAATGATGTATAAAAAGTTCATATAAATTTATGATATTAGATTCAAGGGAAAATATTGGAGGTTTCTAGAGGAGTCACTTGTAACGACACAAAATTGCCATTAGGAGTTGTTGCTTCAATTGTACCATTCAATTTCCCAATTATGGTTCCAATGTGGACTTTACCAATTGCTATTGCTACAGGTAACACATTAATATTAAAGCCATCGGAAAAGGTTCCACTTACAATGAATCGGGTTATGGCTTTACTTAAAGAAGCTGGAATACCCGACGGAGTCGTTAATTTAATTAATGGAACTGTTGAAGGTAAAAGAAATTTTTGAATTTTGTATTTGGTTTTTTCTTTTTGAAAAAATTTTTTTTAACAATTTGTGAAAATTTTCTATTAATTAGCTGTGAATGCTATTTGTGAACATCCCGACATAAAAGCAGTTACATTTGTTGGTACTTCGCATGTTGCCAATATTGTATCAGAAAAATGTCATAAATCTGGAAAAAGAGTACTTGCATTGGGTGCTGCTAAAGTTTGTACACATGTATATTAGCATATATTGTTTTATGAATTTTTATTAACATTTAAATAAATAAATATATGTACATGTGTATTTAGAATCATTTGGTTGCTGCACCTGATTGTGACCTTGAAACAACATCTACTGATGTTGTTAATTCATTTTGTGGATGTGCAGGTTAAATTATTAAATCCAAAAACGATTTTTTTCTTTTTTTTTAAAAAATAATAAATTTTATTAACACAACATAAAATTATTATCACTACTAGGTCAAAGATGTATGGCAGCATCAGTATTATTAATTATAGGTCCAAATCCACAATTATTAGACCGAATTGTATCCAAAGCCAAGGATTTAAAGCCAGGATCCAATCCAAGTGAAATTGGGCCTGTTATTGATCAAGCTTCACTCGATAAAATAACAAGTTACATAAATGATGCAGAATCATCATCATCAGGAGCAGAAATTTTAGTTGATGGTCGTTCTTGGGCAACTGGCAAAGCAGGTTTCTGGGTGGGACCAACCATTATCTTGCACAAAAATAAACAAGACAAAGCTTTACATGATGAAATCTTTGGGCCAGTTCTAAGTGTTTATCAATGTTCAAGTAAAGAAGAGGCTATTGAAATTGAAAATGCAAATCCCTATGGAAATGCTGCATGTAACAAATGTTTCTTGTATTCACTGTTTATTTCACACACAATAATAATACCTTCCATCCCTATTTAAATTGAATACTAATATCAATCAACTCCCTTTTCTCTAAAATTTGTTAAAAAATCCAGTTTTACTAATTATTTGTCTTGATCTTTTATATTGTATTTAAAATAGAAGATAACTGGTATCACTGATCACCTGGTCCGTCGATCTTTGAGCCGTTATAATTTTTGGGCAAATTTAGGATAATTATGGCCAAAATTAACATTAATATTTATTTCAGAATCTTTATTATCAACAACAGACTTCTTTCCATGATTTATGGTATG